GAATCCACAAAACACAGAGAATTTTTTTCTAAACACAATTGGCGAGTAGTAAAATGATTATATGAGGTGGTGGTGGTGGGGGGTGAGAGAAGTTTACTTTTTTTCTCGCACATTGAAACAATTTGGCACTTGTTGAACTATGTTATCTACATACATACAATAATGTATGCAGCAGCAGGCATGCACAAATATGTATTGCTATTTATTACTTGTTGCGCTGCTTTAAAATAAATATTAACTTTTCTTTGCTTACTTGTTGTTTTATTAATTTACTTTGCTATATAATTCTTTTGTTTTTTGTTTCTATTTTGTTACTACAATTCGTTACATTCTTTACACAATTTATTTTTATATTTTTGCCAATATATCATGCTAGGTATTTTTTTTTTTTTTAATTTTTCCTTTTCTTTTTCGTTTTATTTTTTTTCACTTCTTGTGTGTGTTTATTATGTCAATTTACTTGGAGTGAATTTTTTTCTTCTTCTCCTCCTTTGACGAGATTATCATCTCTACTCGTTGTTTTGTTGAGAGAGTAACGAATGATCTTTAATTTCTTATTGCCTTATGTACTCGTTACTTTGTGGGCATGGAAGTTTTTTTTTGTGTGTAAGGGAATAATAATCATCGAATTTTCACATTAAATTTTGTTATTTCACATCGGTTTTCACGATATTCACATGCGGCACATACTAGTGCATAAATATTTCACAATTTTCAAGCGTTTGATTGTTATTTAAAGACGAAATTGAACAAAAAATGTGCCGAATTTTTCTGTTTCTGTCGATTTTAATAAGTCGTGCGCAGAGAACCGAGTCATACTGAAGTTTAATGTCAACGGCGACTGGTTGTGTGGTAGAATTGTAACGCCGTTGCTGTCATGTCATAGCAATGTAAAGTGAATTGATAACATGGTTGCTGGTTGCGAGCAGACTAATTGATGGCATGGGAAATTGTTTTTAATTAAAGCGCGCAATTAAATAATAATTTCTATAAAAATAATAAGAAAGGAAGATTTATTTTAGAGAAATAAGAAAAATATATAACTTTGTGGTGGTGTTCATGGTATAATTATTACAAGGCATAGCTACCATAGTACAATAATACAAAATTTGGGCAGCTTGAGTAGAATAACAAAAAAGTAACTATGTAGGTGATGGCTTCTTCTGCCAAATATAAAATAAATATACGCAACAAGTGGTTCTGTTTATCTGACTTTTTTTAACACCCAACTAAAAACGCGAGAAATGAATGAAAACTTCTGATTTCTTTTCCCAATCCAGTAGGGAATACCATGAAATATTTGTTTTATCCATAACAAAGTTGGGTTGTCCCATGGTACAATTATTCAAGATAGGCATTTATAAATTACAATTTTTTCATACTGTGGCTTGTTATGCCAAAGTCATATACAAAATTTGTGACCTTGTGTGTAATGTTTTGAAAAATATAACAAAATATATTCGAAAATCGATTTATTTGAAGATGAATTTTACAATATTTGTAAGGAGAAATTTGTGATTTGTGAATGAATCAATATGTAAATCATATCCCCACTCGATTTTGAAAAGAAACCCCGTCATTCTATTCATTTTTCGCGTTTTTGGTAAAATGTTAAAAATATGTCAAATGAACAGGACTTGTTGCATTTGTTTTCATTTATTCTGACATTATTGCCCATAAGGTGTATTTCCTCCTTTCTGATAAAAGCTACCCTACCTTGTAAAATTGCACCATTTTCCCTACTGGATTCTTGGCAAGAAATCAAAACATTTCATTTATGATATCAAAAAAAAAAAAAATATATAGTAAAAAGTCGCAGATTCTTGCAGTACAGGAAGAGACCAATAGTTTTCTTTTCTTTTTGTTATTTACTTTCGGCTTATTTTAAACATTTCTGTTGTCCAAGTCTTATTTTTCAATCGAAGTGGCTGTAGTATGGTACCTTGCAATAGGAAAAATATTACATTTATATATATATATATATATTGGTATGTTCCCGTACTGCAAGAATTTACTAGATTTTACTATTTTCTTCGATAACATAAAGGAAAATTCGTTATCGTAGTAAAAAGTAGTAGATTCTTGCAGTACGGGAACAGACCATATACATATATTTCCAAAAAAAAAAATAATACCATAGACAGACGACAGCCTTAATTTGCATTAAAAAGTTCTTAATTTGAATTAAAATTTACCCCTGACAGACGAGAGTTTCTTCATTTATGAACCAGTTTTTTGTTTCAAAACAATTGTTTTTCTGTGTGTAGGAAGAAAATATTGACATTTGTTTACAATATGTTTTAGGATTACATCTTTTTGAAATTGATACATGGCAGGAAGGAAAACTAACAGCTATAATGAAGATAAAACAGCTCCAAATTTGAAGAAATGTTGAATTTTGCCTTTATTTCTAATTTTTATTTTCGTAAACATAAACAAATTTGACAACAATCAATTTATTTTCTACAGCATTGCCATATTGAAATTGCTTAATTCAGTATAAATTCAGTTTGATTTTGTGCATTAACAACACATAAAAATGAGGATAATGTACAAGTTAATTTGAATTAAGGCTGTTAATCCAAATTAAGGCTGTCGTCTGTCTAGGCTATAACTTTGTTATATTAATTTTATAGTGTTTCAGTTAAACAGAGCTAACCGTAATCGATTATCACTAAAAAATACACTATCGATTGTTTTTCCCACAATTCGTCAAAAGTCGATTTTGCGATCCCTAGTTCTAGTTCACGTAGCGGATCGATCATTCTCGTTTCTTTTTTAAAAAGAAACTAGTTCCTTAATGTAGTTCCTTTGAACTATGTAATTACTTCATAATTAAGAGTCGAACCACGAATGAGAGAGGGAACAACGCTCGTCTGTACATGGCATTAGACTTTTCAATACAAAAAGTCGATTAATCGAAAGTCGATTTACTTATCCCTAATCATAATTTGCCTAAACCTCATTCGTAAACAACACGGTTTCCATTTAGTCTCCCCACTCGGTTATACCATTTTGAGTTCATCTTTATCGGCCATTTTGTCTTCTCCTCCCATTCGTTAGCAGGTGGAACGTTTTTCAATTTTTTCAGTCGTCGTTTTTATTTTAGCTCCGTTCCAAAACCTAAAAGAATCTACTAATTTTACAAGTTTTGCAACTTTTTACTCGAAAACCGTTCCTGAACCCATAAAACTGGTAAAGCATTGAATCAAACTTAAGAGAGCACAAAACAAAATGGCTTTCTCTTTGTAAACTTTTTGTTATGTTGATTTTGAAGTATTGCCATCTAATTTTAGCATATTTACTAGATTTGCGTTCCCGAACTTTTCAAATTATTTTGTACTCTGAGACTTGAAATGTTTCCCGTTTACTAGCTTTACTATTAAACAAGTGAAAAAGCGTTAAGTTCGGCCGGGCCGAACTTTGGATACCCTCCACCACAGGTATACTGACAGGTATTTGAAATGAAAAAGTGGACCGATATTTATAATTTTAAATAGAGATATTTGGTACCCAATATGAACCCACTGTACCAAATTTCAGCGAATTCGGTTGAAAATCGCGCTTAAGAACCTCAAAATACCGAAAATTTGGGGTGCCCTTATATGGGGGCTACCAGAAAAAAGTGGACCGATATTTATAATTTTTAGTAGAGATATTTGGTACGCAATATGAACCCAATGTACAAAATTACAGCGAATTCGGTTGAAAATCGCGCTCAAGAACCCCAAAATACCGAAATTGGGGGTTACCCTTATATGGGGGATATCCGAAAAAATTGACCTATATTTAAATTTTTTGTGGAGAGATTTGGTACCTGCTAAGAACTCAAAATACTAAATTACAGCCAATTCGGTGAAAAATACGATAAAAACCCAAAAAATACTGAAAATTAGGCGGTACCGTTATATGGGGTTACAAGAAAAAGTGGACCTATATTTATAATTTTTTGTGGATACATTTACTACAAATTCGCTTGAAAAACGCGCTCAAGAACCCCAAAATACCGAAAATTGGGGGGTACCCTTATATGGGAGCTATGCCTAAACGTGGACCGATATATCCCATCTTCGAACTTGACCTGCCTGCAGACAAAAGACAACCCTATGCAAAATTTCAGCACCCTATCTCAATTCCTTCAGAAGATAGCGTGATTACAACAGACGGACGGACATGGCTAGATCGTCTTCGAATATTACCCTGATCAAGAATATATATACTTTATAGGGTCGGAAATGAATATTTCGATGAGTAACAAACGGAATGACAAAATTAATATACCCTCCATACTATGGTGGATGGTATAAAAAGTACTGGAACAGACCATTTGTTGGCGAAGGTTTGCGTACGACGTCGCTTGAGTCTTGGCAGAACGACGATTAACAAGCGAATTTTATGAAGGCTGGAGTCTTGGAGGCTTCCCACTGTTCTTTTGAATCTCTCTCTCTCTCTCTTTTATTATTTTTTTTTCGTTTTTCCATATATAGTTCCTTTGCTCCATATAGTTCCTTTGATCCATATAGTACCTTTTGCTCCAAATAGTTCGTTTGGTCCAAATAGTTCCTTTGCTCCATATAGTTCCTTTGATCCATATAGTACCTTTGCTCCATATAATTCCTTTAGTCCATACAATTTCTTTGCTCCATATAGTTCCGACTCCTACATAGTTCTTTTTAATCTCTCTCTTTCATCATTCTTTTTTTCGTTTTTCCATATATAGTTCCTTTGCTCCATATAGTTCCTTTGCTCTTTATAGTTCCTTTGCTCCATACAGTTCCTTTGCTTCAAATAATTCAAAAAAGGAACTGGATCAGAGAAAGGAATTATATTAATTAAAGAACTGGAACTAGTTCCGTTCGTTCCTTTCTCGGAATAGTTCCAATGAACTAGTTCGTTCCGGGACTACCCAACTCTACTAAAGTGGGGTTATTTGGCCATTGGTGGTCGACTGTTGCAATTTACATTTTCTTAACAAATTATTAATTAAAAATTAAACGAAAATGGGTAAAGTTATGTCCATTGTCTCGAGACAAATAAATCGTTTCAATGTTGAAAATCGGGCACATCGTGTATTGGAAAGAGACAAGCCAGTGCCGGCACCAAAATATGAATCGAATATAAGGGATATGGAACGGACAATGGAGTGTAAGAAAACAAATAAAAAAATTATTTAATTGAATGCAGAATTTTATGATATCATGATTACATCTTCTCATTGCAGTGGATCCCAAATTCTTGGAAAGGCTAAATAAAAAGGACGAGGCATTGGATCAGCGTTTGAAAAGTGTTTATGTAACATCCGAGGATAAATTTGTGAGTAAACATGATGAAATGGTGCTATTGTTGTTTTTGTTTTTATTGTAAATAATGTATACCATCATGTTTTGCAGATAGATTATGGTATAAAACGTAAGGAAGCCGGTGATGACAAATCCCTACCTTTAGATCGCCGTACCCCCGAAGATTTTGAATTTGGTTATAAGGAACCACATAGAGTGGCTCCGGGACGTTGTACCTTACGACAGGCCTTGAAATTCATTACCGATCATCAGGCTGAACCGGAGAAATGGACAGCGGCAAAAATTGCCGATGAATATAAACTGAAGCCAGAATTAACAGGTGGGTAGGAATACATAACAAATTAATGGAATTTTAAATCTTTTCTCCTTTTTTTGTTTTTGCAGAAAACATACTCAAATACTTTAGAAGCTATAGCATCTATATACCTGATATCAAGCAAAAAGAATCAATATTAACTCAAACCAAACGAAAGCTATTATCCGATTCATCGAATAAAATTAAAGATGAGTAATTCCGGCCACGGCATGACTAAATACTATACTAATTAGATCAATTGTAAGATATTTGATTTTGGAATTAGATTCTGTTTTTTGTAAATACAGCAACGTGAAGGAAATAAGTTGAAGAAAATATACGATATAAGACCAAATAATTAAGTCTAAAAAGAAACAGCTAAAAGCGTAATTTTATACCCTCCATTGTGGACCTTCAAATACCGAAGATGGGTCCGATCCCTAGTTTAAGGAATGCACTTAATTGACAAATATTCTTAAAAAAATCCACGCCTTGAAAAAATATTCTTAAAAAAATTCACGCCTTGAATAAATATTCTTAAAAAAATCCACGCCTTGAAAAAATATTCTTAAAAAAATTCACGCCTTGAATAAATATTCTTAAAAAATTCCACGCCTTGAAAAAAATTCGTTAAAAAATCCACGCCTTGAATAAATATTTTAAAAAAATCCACGCCTTGGAAAAATATTCTTAAAAAAATTCACGCCTTGAAAAAATTTTCTTAGAAAATCCACGCCTTGAAAAAATATTCTTAAAAAAATTCACGCCTTGAATAAATATTCTTAAAAAAATCCACGCCTTAAAAAATATTCTTAAAAAAATTCACGCCTTGAATAAATATCCTTAAAAAAATCCAGGCCTTGAAAAAATATTTAAAAAAAATCCACGCCTTTGGCTCTGATAGTCTCAGAAAAATATTTAAAAAAAATCCACGCCTTTGGCTCTGATAGTCTCAGAAAAATATTTAAAAAAAATCCACGCCTTGAAAAATATGTTTAAAAAAATCCATGCCTTGAAAAAATATTTAAAAAAAATCCACGCCTTGAAAAAATATGTTTAAAAAAATCCATGCCTTGAAAAAATATGTTTAAAAAAATCCACGCCTTGAAAAAATATGTTTAAAAAAATCCAGGCCTTGAAAAAATATTTAAAAAAAATCCACGCCTTGAAAAAATACGTTTAAAAAAATCCATGCCTTGAAAAAATATGTTTAAAAAAATCCTCGCCTTGAATAAATATTAAAAAAATCCACGCCTTGAAAAAATATGTTTAAAAAAGTCCACGCCTTGAAAAAATATTTAAAAAAAATCCACGCCTTGAAAAAATATGTTTAAAAAATCCACACATTGAAAAAATATTTAAAAAAAATCTACGCCTCTGGTAGGCCTTGAAAAAATATTCTTTAAAAAATCCACGCCACTGGTAGGCCTTGAAAAAATACAACATGGTTATTGTCCCATATGACGACCGTTCCAAACTCATTATGTCCTTCGATTTTTTTGTATTTTTTTTTATTGTAACATATCGGGGTTGCGGGGTGTTCCTTTTTATACGATAACATTTGGTGGACAATTATATAAATTAAGCGATTTATCTTCCGACACTGAGACAACCTTATCATTTGATGTACTATATTTGACACCCCATGCCTGATCACTGTGTTCCGAAAATGTGTGCATACATTTACGTTCAGCAAAATCCCATATTTTAACGGTTGTATCACTTGACGATGAGGCAAAATGTTTGCCATCTTCCGAAAATGAGACACATAATACCCATGAAGCATGACCAGATAGGGTACCGGCTACATCCGAATGGGCACTGGAAGAAAATGTATTTAAAAATTGAACACATTTCAAAAAAAAAAAAAAGTAACAGTACTTACACATCGTAAAGCTTCATGTGACCATCATCGGATGCGGTCAGCAACATTTGTGAATTCGGTGAGAAACATAAACTGCGTACGGGCATAGCATGACCTTCTAATGTTTGGGTTACTTTGCCAGCTGCCACATCAAAAATGGTAATAATACCATCAATGGCACCGCTGGCAATATATTTTCCATCAGGACTCTAAAAATAAGAAATCAAGGATAATTCAAAATATTTTTTGGTGCAAGCATGCGGATTTTTTGAAAATAATTTCCGTATGGCTCGTGTAAACTGTCGTTTTCTAATTTTACATATTCACCCCTCACGAACTTACATAGGCTATACTCAAAGTAAACTTTCCATTTTGTGGATCCAAGATCTGTTCCTGTTTACCCGACTCTACATTATACATGGATATTTTGCCTTCATTGGAACCGGAGATGACATATTTATCACATGGTGAAAATGCTACTGTCCACAAATCGACAGGACCAAATGAGAGTAAATGTTTTTGTTGGCCACTTTCCGAATCCCAAAAACACAAACTGGAATCCAAAGAACTGCTGGCAATTGCTACAACAACAAACATAATATTAGATACAACAATTTGTTTAAATTATTTCATTATACTCACTCTTGCCATCCGAACTCACAGCCACCGATACAACACCCAACGAATGGCCCTTCAATGAATGTCGCAGCTTTAACGTGTTATCTTCTTTGATATCCCATACCTTAACCAAATCATCCAGGCCACCGGTGACAATAAAATCAACGGGTTCTTTACTAGTTTTACTTTCAATACCCAAAAAGGAATCTCTACTGGCGTCGGGATCTTTTTCTGTGGCCGATTCATCTGCGGCCGATTTTTCAGCTGGTTGTGTACGTCCCCATGAACATGACCAGATACCATCTTCGTGGGCTGTTTCTTCTTTGTGGAGTAACGAGAACTAAATGATAAAAACACACAAGGTTACCAGTTATATATAAACTATTACCAATTATTATAATTACCATTGGTTTTTCGTTTGGTAACTAAAATTAAATTATAAATAAAAAAATGAATTCCAAAGATGAATTGATATAGTACGCTGCTGCGCTGCTTCTTTTTTGCCAAATATAGGCCGGTTAAAAGGGTACTATAGTTTGAAATGTGACAAAAGGGATTTACAGGTTAACTCAAGGTAGATATCAAGGTAGATATACAAGGTAGCCGCATCGGCGAATTTCTACAACAAACATCGGTTGTTGTATTTTGATATGTCAAAAATATTTTGCCAAAACAAACAGATTGGCAAGATTTTTTACACAAAATCTTGTAGAAAATGTTAATAAAAGTATTGCCAAAAAAGCTCTTCGAAATTCGGAGATTTTCATTCATAATTTTGTTTCTTAATATTTTTGGTTCAACATTACAACAACATTTTTGACATTTATTTGTCCAACAGCTGGGCCGATGCGGCTACCTTATTAAATATACCTTGGTAGATATACAAGGTAGCCGCATCGGCGAATTTCTACAACAAACATCGGTTATTGTATTTTGATATGTCAAAAATATTTTGCCAAAACAAACAGATTGGCAAGATTTTTTTACACAAATTCTTGTAGAAAATGTTAATAAAAGTATTGCCAAAAAAGCTCTTCGAAATTCGGAGATTTTCATTCATAATTTTGTTTTTTAATTTTTTGGTTCAACATTACAACAACATTTTTGACATTTATTTGTCCAACAGCTGGGCCGATGCGGCTACCTTATTAAATATACCTTGGGTTAACTAATCGTGGAAATCGATAACTGTTATTTTTCTGATAATGGAATAATATTTAAGCGATATGGGGGAAGAGGTAAAAACAAATATTGTACGTTTTAATATATGAATACATAAAAATACTTTACAAAAAAAAAAAAAACAAGCCTCTCTTTTAAAATATCTTTATTTGCTTTTGAAAAGCGCAGTAATAGGGATCGACAATTTGAAAAGTGACCGTAGCCATTAACATATGATTTTCACAGTAATCGATAAATTTGAGGGCTGAAAGTTTATTTATAAATGAAAATGGAAATTGTTTAATGCGAATGAAAGAAATAAACATTTGGTTTATTCCATAAGTAATAAATCGAATCTGTTTTCGATTTTCTTCTCATAAATTTGAAAAGTTATACTCCTTTTTTGAGTACAGAAAAAGTACCAATAAAAATTGGTCCCTTAGTTGAGTACACATTATCAGTTCGGATTGACAGCTTTGTTATCGATGATTGACTATCCAGCAATCATGGATATTTTCGTGAATAATTACTGAATGACGGGCGCAAATGTTCACTTCGTTTTATTTTCCGTGGTTCTGAATCAATTTCGAAGTTGGAAAATATAACAATTGAGTGTGCGGGACTTTACTTTGCTGTTCGCGCACCGAAGTTATACAACTTTTTCCGATATAATTAAGGAACAATTGTTATCGTAGTAAAAAAATTTTAAATTCTTGCAAGTTCTAGAAAATAGCAATTCTGTACATTGTCAAAAACCAATAAGACAACAGTACAATCCGCAACGTAGGTGATGGCTTGTTTTATAAAATATAAAACACATTTATTTTTTCATCATAGCCCCAATATAACGTGACGTAGGGGATGATAGATACCAAGCAATAGCTCCGATTGGCTTTAACATGGGGAAGCCCAGGCTTATCTTGGTCACTCTTTCATCTCATTTGTGGACACTAACCTCCCCGCAGTGTCCCCTGGGGTAACTATTTTCATCATCCATTGCAATAGTGAGCTGATATGTGCCTTGTGTTGACCCATAAGAACAAAAAAAAAATGGGTTGAGGCGTCAGGTTAGTTGACCACACTCGGAAACACCCTCTTACTATGAAAAAGCAACAACAAAGAAACCCAAATCCCAAAGCCAAAAATCGGAAGGGAAAATGTTTTTGGTCCCACCGTCAGAAAATACAGCCTCCATGAAGAAACATCCGACAGCGGCATGAGGTAGATTGACTTCACGGCAGCAAAAAACATGGTAGTTAGCAGCGCCAGATTCAAGCATCTCGATATACACAAGGCCACCTGGATTTCTCTTTATCAAGCAACGAGAAACCAAGTTGAATATGTTGTGATAGACGGAAGGCATTCGTCCAGTGTTCTAGACGTTCGATAGATACGAGGAGCGAATATCGATTCGGACCATTCTTGTGGTAGCCAAGGTTTCAGTGTGCTGTGTGAACGACTGAAGCCAATGACATTATTGGATCATACCAATGGGGCATAAGGCCTGGAAAATCCACCATTGATCAGATTTTTCACTCTGCGCCACGTCCTGGAAAAAGCTCACGAAAAACACATCGACACATTCCACCGATTCGTCGACTATTAAGGGCTAAGCAGAATGCTCGCGTTGAGCCATCCGTTGCGTTATGTGTTATCGAAAATACAACAACCACAAGGAAACGATAACACAAACGCTCTAAGTTGTTGTGCGCTTCGGAGTTAAATATATTTTAACTTTTTGCGTGCGTTAACGCGATAACAAAAAACGCTCAACGCGAACATTCTGTTTAGCTCCGAAGCGCAGCGCACAACAACTTCGAGCGTTTGTGTTATCGTTTCGTTGTGGTTGTTGTATTTTCGATAACATATAACGCGACGGATGGCTCAACGCGAGCATTCTGCTTAGCCTGAGAAGGAGTCGGACAAAATGGGACTGGCACACAAGTCGTCCAGCAGACTCGGACCAACTGTGGAACTTGAAAACTACAGCTTCGAGGTAGTGAACAATTTTATATACCGCGGTACGCCATAAACAAAACTAATAACATCAGCTTTGAAATCCGGAGGAGAATAGTGTTGGCCAACTATGCTACTATGGTCTGAGTAAGCAACTCAGAAGCAAGACCTCCTATGCCCAGACAAAACTCACACTCTACAAGACGCTGATATTAACGTGCTATCGTATGGATCTGAAGCATGGGTACTTGCAAAGCAAATGAGGCAGCCCTTGGAGTGTTTGAGAGAAAAATTCTACGGAAGATCTATGGGCCGATCTGCGTCGATGGCGAATATCGCGTCGAATGAACCATGAGCTATACCATCTATTCTCGGACATCGACAGAGTCAGACGGATCGAGCTGCAGCGACTACGTTGGCTAGGCCATGTTGTGAGAATGGATGAAGATGCCCCCGGTATACAAATAACATCGAAAATGTATACAACCTGCCATTGTATGTTTTTGTCATGTTTTTAGGCATTTACGAACATGTTTGTGCCTATTGCATCGTCAACAATATAATAATACACAAAACAGATAGTGTGTACTCCCCTTTATTACTTCAACCATATGCTGTAGGGCTCCATAGTCTGATAATTGATGATCCCTATAAAACTATCGATAACAACAGTAAATTGGCAACCCTTCTTCCACGAAACACAAGAAAATGAAGGAACACCACAATAAAACAAAAATCGACTTGTTTACCCCTGGCTGCTTATGAAATTTGGGAAATTTGACAGAGTCTTTTCTTGAGTTCGGACGTTCGGACGGTATTTTTCTTTTCTCCGCATGCGATCACAGTGAAAAAAATAGTAAAAGAAATTTATAAAAATTCTTCTATTACTAACATAAAAATTATGTAAAAAAAGTGATTGTTAATTCATGCAAAACTTAGCGTGTCACAAAAAAAAAATCAAATCGTTGAGCCAGAAAACTCAAAAGAAAATCGGTGTTCTCTATTGTAAGATATATATGTGAAAATTTCTATTCAGAAAGAAAAAAAATAATTTCTGTTTGTGATTTTGTGTGTGCTGTGCTGTGCTCTGTTGTCTGTGGTTGTTAGTAATTGCTGGAGAAAAAAGTTAAATAAACACACAAGAAAGAAAGAAAAAAGTTATAAAAAATGTGTGTTAAGAAGAATTCCAAAAAGAAATAATCTTTGGTTTTGTGTGCCAATAAAAAGAAATACGAAATAATTCCAAAGAATATATTTTTTCTTGTGTTAGACAAAACTACATAAATATGAATTAAAAAAAAAATAAACAAGAAACGAAGAGATATGAAATTTGAGTATTTAAAACAAAAAAATAAATAAATAAGCATGAAATGACGTGAATTATTCTTATGTGTTGATGAAAATAATTCCATATTGCTGGACTGCTGAATGAATGGCTGGTTGGCTGCCTGGTTGCTTGGATGGCTGGTTGCTGCACCAACCATACCAAAATTTTGCCTCATTCTTTTCATCCATTAAATGTGGGGAGTGGGTGTGCGTTTGTGTGTTGTTGTTATTGCTGTTGTCGCCGCCTCTGCTGCTGCCTAGTCAGTAGCAGCCAGCATGTTCAACAGAAGTTCAACTCTTTGCTAGAAAAACCAAATTCCCAAATAAGTCGTCCATACAAATTCGCTTTTTACTTTTCTGAATAGTAGAAGAATTAATAGCAGATTTATTTATAAATTTAAACCGAAGAAAAAAGACGAAAAACTTTCGTTGTTACGAAACATTAATTGTAGTTAGCTGTAAATCTTATCGGATCACTTAATTCTTCTTTACATACAACGGGAACGAGAGTGTGCGAGAGAGAGTAAGTGAAGGGGGGGGAGAAGTAGAAAGACATTCATGGTGTTGTAGTTGCTGCACATTTATGTTGTGTTCTCTCCATTGCTATTATTTTTATTTTTTTTGTGATGATACTCTTGTTCGCTCTCACTCTCTTGCATTACTGTTGTCAACATAACAACAATGGGCGGCAATGTGTGTGATGGATAATGCATGCCATGCCATGTAAACATGCACATTGAAACAATACAAACATTTTGCTCCATTATGGGAAAAACGGAAGTGGACAACATATTCTAATTGGAATGATATTCATATTGGTTATTTGTATTCCTGTTGGCATTTGATCGAAGGGGAAACAAAAAAGAGTCATTCTCATTTTGTGACAAGGAGAGAGTCACAAGAATTAAATAGTAAACAATAATGTTGCCAGATCGATTGGAAATTAATGAAAACAGTGATATTGATACATAGATGGGAAATAATGAAGAAATTTGATTATTTTAGGGATTTGTGTGGAAAATTTGTGGCTAACGTTTATATCATTAGAGTTTTAATAAAATATAGCATGTTCTGGATTCCGAAGTAAATTATTTGCCCCTCAACATGAAAAATGAAATTTTTAAAAATTGAATCGGAAAGAGAGTAATTATTTTCGAGAAGAGTCGCCGAGTTAAAAGTAAACAATGATGTTGCCAGATGGCTTTTAATGAAGCTCAAAAAATAAACCCATTAAAAAAATTGTGGAAAAAAATTTGTCATTAAGGTTTATTTTTGTTTTAACAGCAAATATTGTGTGCACGTCTGCCCAACAATGTTTTTAAACTAATTGAAATAATTCGGCTCTTTGTATTAAGCCAGGGTGTAATTATTTTATGATATCGGTGAAAAAAAAAATAAAAAAAATAGTAGATTCTTACAGTAGGTGGCCAGATCATAAATTTGAAAAGTGTTATCACTTTTTTATTACGTGTACCGAACTTTCATTTCATATTTTGTCTTATACAAATTTGGTTCGAAAAATAAATAAATTTTCAATTTGCTCCGATGATTAGCAATTTCGGTCCATTTCCAAGCTAATAATTTAGGAAAATTTTGCTAGAATTTTTAATGTTTTGAGGAACTTTACGTACCTTTTTGGACATTCCGAAACAAATTTGGTCCGAAAAATAAAAAAAAAAAAAAAAAAACAATTTTTCAGAGGTTGGCGTTTATTTACAGCGGTGTTTTATTCGGTTCGAACCCACAAGATCGGATATTTTATCGTATCCGAGTTTGTGGATCATTATCTTTATAAAAATACTTTGATTCTTAGTATCCTACATTTTGAAAATGTGCTCTCCTTCTAGCCGACTTCGACACTGTCTTACCTTCCTTCGCCATGGTGCTGATAATCTTTCCTCATTCAGGGGTTGCTCGAAAATCATGATTTATTACAAATAGCCGTCATAGAAACTACCTTTATTCGCAATTGTGTCAAGGATCTCTCGTCATTTAGAGACCCTCTCGAAGTTCCTGATTGTCTAAAGATTTCGGATATCATTTTCCGGCTGTACTTTGTCACGGAATTCTTTCAATCAATAAATCACTCGGAATTCAGGTAGTTTCATACAAACTGACTATTAAATTTTATATCTGTCTTGATTTGAATGTATTTCTAGTCGGCAATTCAGCATTTCTGTCATGGTTGCTGAAACGGCTGCAGAAGCCAAGATGCTTTTTTTAATAAATTAAAAATATATGCCAATATTTCTAAAAAAAACGTCAATTTTGTTGCCCGGCTTTGGTCAGGTGCTAACATTTATATTATATAACATATAATAATAAAAAATGTGATACTGCACTTTGCATTCCAATTTTGTTGGCTTCATAACATTTCCGAATCTATCAATCATAATTAATTTGATTAACCACCTCTAATGATTTCATTAATATTTTATTAATAGAAAACAAATTTTTTACTTTTTTTTATTGACCAAATTTGGTTAGAAAATTATCAGATTGTTTCACCTGTTTCAAGGTTGGAAATAAGTGGATTAGACACTGAAATAAAAACAATTGTAAATTTATTTATTTATATTTTTTTATCTAAGGAAAAACGTAAAAATATTGAAAGATAAAAAATAAAAATTAAATAGTATATGTTTAAAATAAACTATTTATTACGGATCTGACAACGCCTAAATATTTATTAACCCATATATTTCCGATTACTATATAATTTTAAAGCGATCGATTTGATTTATATATTTTTTTAATCATTAGAAACTCATAATTTTTGTATTTGTTAAAATTTTTTTTAAATTTTTAAGGAAACATTTATAAAAATATTCAGGGTTTTTTTAATCAATTAGGGAATATAACCCAATCTTTTTAAAATGTTAATAGAAAAGTTCGAAAATATCTTTCGATTTACCCCAATACAAGTTGTTAATAATGATATACCCTTTATTATATTATTTTCACATCAATCTGGTAGCTCTTAATTTTAACATGTCATTTATTTTGAGGTTAATGCCATGTACAGACGAGCGTTGTTCGCTCTCTCATTCGTTGTTCGACCCTTAATTATGAAGGAATTACTTAGTTCCCCATACAAAATTGTCTGAGCGAACACCGACTTTTGTACGTTGTTCAATTCAAATCACTCTCTGAATAACCAATAAATTTGTCCCATCCCTAACAATTGAGAGTATTTATCGAAAATAAATTAATTTTGACAGTTTGAAAATATTTATGAAATTTTCAAACTTTTTCAGTAAAATTGAAAATCATGAATGAAAAGTAAAAAATTGTATAGTTTTTATATATGCAGCAGGATGTAAATTTTGTTTTCTACATAATGCAATATGCATTTATTTTCCCTTGGTTCTAATTAGCGTACAAAACAAGAAACAAATGTGGGGCAACTCAAACAAAAAATTCTCCAAATTTTTATTTGTGACAGTATGTGACATTTGAATTGAGAAAATATAAAAATGTATTAAAAACAACAACATTTTCAGAAAAAATGGAAAACATATGAAAAGTAAATATATGGGTTCATACTATAGTCAGGAGAAAGAGAATTATTTTTTCTATTTAGATCCCTATGTAATTCACTAAAATATGTTACATTTTTGGTGTAAAACAAGAAACAAAAAGTTTGAAATAAAAACTCTGATGACATGAATTATGAATAGTGTTGTATGAACGGGTTAATTCATGTACGTAATTCTGAGAGCGAACTACGTTGTTCGAATGCCCGTCAGAACATGGCATAAGACTCACAATTTCATTTAAATATCGCAATTATACGCAAACAACTCATTAACTCGTTATCGATAATTGCCGATAATTCTCGTTTTGACATGTTACCGAATACCGTTATTTATATTCCATTATTTATATTATTTTAAACTTTACTCTCTTTCCTTAATACCCATTTTCTCGCAAAGAAGTAATTACCTCCCATAACTATATTATTTTCCCCCAACAATCTGGCAACACTATATTTTTACCATGCATTTATCTTGTGTGCTGGGTTTTATTTTGACCAGCGCAAAAATTTGCCCATTAAAAAGGAACTAACTTTTGGGGATGCTGTTACTATCGACGTTGTGCTCTTCTCTATACTCATTAATGAAGAGTATCAGTGCACACACACACACTCATACAAGAAAATGTGCATTCTTGTTATTTTTTTGTTTGGCGGCATAGCTTTTACCAACAACAAATATTCACACAGACTCTCAGCATGTCTGGCAAATAAAAAAAGAATTCTTCTTCTTCACGCATAATGTGCGTTCACACATTATTTGCATTACTGTGTGTGTGTGTGTTTCGTTTTGTGCAAATTTCGTATAAACAAGGAGTAAGCATGTGTGGGGGGGGTGTCGGTTTGACATTTTAGCCGACGTCATCATTCTCGTACGACGACGTACTAATTGTTGTAGTGGAGACGATAAATTTTGTTTTTACCGAAATTCGATACAATGAGAAAAAGATAATTGGAAGGATTCTGATTCTCACTCTCTCTCTCTCTCCGTCTTGGTAAGCCACTGCATGGCTCTGTTGAGTGTGTTTGCCTGTGTGTGCTTGCCAAACTTTGTTCCTTATTAAAGTTGTTGTTTATTTTGTTGTTGTTATTGGCTTTTATTTTCATTAATAACAAAGATTGGCGGATGCTGTTGCCTGCCTGTCTTTATTCCCTTATTGTCTGACAGCTAACAACAACAACAACTACCCACATCTTAAGATGTAAAAACAACAACTATAACACACCATCAGACTTTTTAGTTTTGTTGTTGTTATGTTTGCCTGTCTGCCTCTTTTGTGTGTCCTTCCTTTGTTTGTTCACATAAGAATTACATTTGCCTGTGAAGTTTAACGGACTGTCTCTCCACTCACTCAGTAACTCCCAGAGAGAGAGAGATATATATGGCGGTACTTCAGTGTTTTAGTAGTTGGATGACTTGATTTGACAGATTCGTCGTCATCGTCATTGTTGTCGGTCGTTGATTGGATTTTGTTCGTTTGACATTTTCGGTGGGAAGTTGTTGTTTCTTTTTTTTCGTTAATTTAAGTGCAATGGATAATTGGAAAATGTGTGTGTTTTAAATGAAAAATGAAGAGACGTGAAATAACAACAAGGGGATTTGTAGTGAAATAAAGTATATGTATGATTCCAATTGGAATTGAGTTAGAAATGTAATAGGAATGTGCCAAAGTTGTGCAAAAACGCACATGTGCGGCGTTTGTTTATTATTGTTTATTAATGGAAATGTGTGAAAAATATCAATTTTAAAGATATTATTAAAATATTAGCATGATATTTTAGATATTGTTAAATGAAAATATTAATTTTTTCTTTAAAATATTAACCGTGAATATCCAAGAAACTTTTCATGTGTTCTTAAGGTTGGATGAAAAATTGCAAAGCACAAGTTTTTCCAACAAGAACTGTTCTGTTGGTATTGTAAAAAAATGATTTCAATTTTGATATAATTATCGGATGCTTAATAATAGAAAGGAAACTTGCTTGGTTCGAAGGACATTTAAAATGTCCAAAATCCGCTTGGAACTTTTATATTGGGGCTGTGTCATTATAAATTGCTGAAAGATGGAAGAAATTAAATACCAAAATGCAGACCTTCAGCTTGAAAATTTTGATCCAACGATATTTATAATTTTTAATAGGAAGATTTATTACCCAGTAACAGTCAATTTGGTTGAAAGACTTTTATGAAGATTTCACACCCAATGTGAACACAAAATATCATAACTGTTTCTGCAGAACCTCTAGAAAAAATTTAAGATGCAATAATATATAGGGACTTTTTTTGATCGCAGATATATATTGATCATTTTTGGTAACTAGATTTGACACCCAATCAGAACAAATTATTGTCAATTTGGTTCAAAATATAAATCAAGGTGCATAATTTTTCCTAGATTAAAAAAATACGCCTCTTATTTTGAAAAAAAAATCTTTTTAATCCAATGCACGACTCTAAATTTGACCAAACATATTTTTTGTAATGATTTTTTTTTTTAATTCAAGTCTTTTGGTTATTAAAGAAAATATTGTTAACCAGTGAACGGAGCAGTATAGTCGGACGGGGCCGACCATACGATACCCTAGAAAACTACCACGGAACTCTAACTTTTTGCGGATTTTTATTCCGAACTTGGGCAAAATTTCGTGATATTTGCACTTTCTTGCCCTCACACTGACATATTTTCCGAATGTTACTAATACTCAGTATAGCTCTTCTAATTACTTGTCCATATTCCCTTCACCGTGGGATGTGTTGTGATGTTCGGCTCATAATTGCGGTCTTGAAAAAATACAAAAAAAGTTTTAGGTCCTCTTCATCCCAAAATTATTATCTGATCATTTGGTCCATTCATCCTTAAACTAATATTTTGTTTATATTAGTCTATTTATCCGAAAATAATATATACATTTTTAAATCCTTGCCTCTTTGTTTGAAAAAAAAAATATGTAAAATCCTTTCCTCTTTGTTTGAAAAAATATTTTTCAAAAACGTCCACGTGGTCTTATTTAAAAAAATTTCAATATCTCATTTTTATCACTTATTTCTACTACGAAAGTGTAAAGCCCTACTTCTATTCCTAGAGATTTAAAATCCACGCTTTTAGTGAAAAAAAATTAAATGGTATTTATACTTAAATAGAGCAAAATAATTGAAAATCCCATCCCAAATTAAATGGTATTTATACTTAAATAGAGCAAAATAATTGAAAATCCCATCTCTCGAAAATTCTCTGGCCCATATGCAGTCCCTTACGATGTTATAAATTCCTTATGAAAATAATAATCACAATTTTATAGAAATTGCTTTTAGAAATAATTATTTTTCAATTGTAATTAATGTTTGTAAACTCTACTTCTTTTCCCGCTCTTTTTTATTTATTTCTAATT